TGCTGGAGGAATATTCCTTATCCACAATAAAAATATAGGACCCTTCTGCATTGCAGCCTGGTCTAAGCAAAACTTCATCCTGTGGTTATTTTTTGTTCATTCAGCATTCACTTATTGAAAAAATACAGAGTTCTGCAAACCTTTTCAAATTGCTTATGCCTTGCTGCATTGCCCACTCTTTTCAGAGCACTTTCTTTCCTAGACATACTTAATACAACACAAAATGCTTCACTAGAGTACTTTTAAGACTTTTTTTAGGAGCTGCAGACAATGGAATTAATTCAACTTTTTAGCCCAAAAGTAGATGGAACAGACTGTAAAGGTTGCAACAAACTGTACATTCTGATGCCTTGAACAACATAGACTGTAAAGGTTGCAACAAACTGCACATTCTGATGCCTTGAACAACAACAGTGGCATTTCTATATTTTATTTTTGTATCCTTAAAGGTGTCAATGGAGCACCAGTCCCTTCCAGTCAGTGCAAGGGCTACAGGCTGTCATTCCCCTGGGTCTGTGGACACCCACACTGCAAGTGCACCGGGAGCAGAAGCGAGGCAGGCACTGGCTTACCTTGGCACACGTTGTGGTCACTTTGCTCATACCCAGCTGCACACTGGATTTGGTGGGTTGGGTTGGGAGGGGCGCGCTGGGGGTCGGCTGGGGTCCGGCGAATGACACTGTTTCGACCACTTGTGGATTCAGCTGCTGCTTCTTCTCGCTCATTTACAATAATTTGCGCTGTTCTGGGTAGACAGAGGTATCCTCCATAGTGGTTAACACATTTCATCCCACCTTTACATGCATCTGGGACTATTTCACATTCATCAATATCTGTGGTTAGCAACAACACAAGTCATGCTTTTAACAGTCGAACCTTCTGCAACAGCCATTAACACAAAGAACACGACGAGACAGGCACGCACACCTCCGTGTCCAAAACAGGGGTGTGCAGTGAGAATACTTTAGGAATACCAGTGACAAGTCTGTCTTTGAAAATTATTTACTGTACCTTTGCACCGTTGCCTAACAGGATCCCATTCATAGCCATCTGTGCATTGCTGTGGAGAAAAAAGAAAAATTGGTTAATTGGGATTCTTTGTTTTGGAAAAACAGTGTAGTCAGTGAACTCAGTGTGTGACACAAAGTTGAAATGCAATACCTTGGTAGGCTAGAAAAATGGCAATTGGTACAGCACTGCTGTGCAGGAACAGCAAAACTTGTGGGTCCCTTTCCACTCGGAATGCTCTATGACACACAGACAGTGCCACTGTCTCATGAAGTTCCCAGTATATTGTTTGTTGTGAGCAGGTTGGGGAGCAAAGTGAGAAAACCATTGCTTTCTCCTTCCCTTGTTCCTGTGCCCTGTGTTATACCATCTCTCCTTGGCTAGATCCTTGGATGATCTTAGGTGTGACCAAGCTGACCAGAATGAAAATCTTCTTATGAAAAGCAACCAGTTTTTCTGAATTTGGATCTTATTCCCTGCCTTCCAACAGGTGGACCTCTTTCATTCCCAGACTCACTTTGCCAGAGGGACTGAGAAGACTCTCTGCCCCTGGACTTCATCCTCTCTCCCATTAGCACTATAGCAACTAGGAAGGATCCCATGACAGCTAGAAATCTATTCACATGCTTTTTAATCATATGACTCCAGGAACTGCAGTCTAGGAAGGACAATTTATATTGTGAGGCACACAATAAATGGTTACAGTTTATAACAGCAGGACTACTTATTTATACAAGACTTTGCAAAATTCAAACAAGGCTATACTCAGCAACTATTCATATCAATGCACACCAGCAAGTTCAGGAAAGATTTTAAATAGTCTGCTCTGTATCTTCATTATTCCCCTGCCCAAAACCATTAAATTATCCAGAGGGCAGTAATTTTACTTGCAGGTCACAGTTACAGAGACTGATTAGCAAAGTCAAAGTATCATGGTGCTGCAGCAGGAACCTTTAAAATATTAAAATATCATTGAATCAACCAGACTGTGCTATGTAGGTGCATCTTGGGCTGCTCAGGGTATTACTTTAATGGCCCCATACAAAAAAAGAATGGAGTTGACTAATGTAATTAGTCACAGTCAAGCAAGCTAAATCTTAATGCAACTCCTCTGCTACTGAGGGACTTACAAGTTACAAACTTGACTTTCTGATGCCAAGATCCACTTGTTGCAGGTCCTATCCTCAAGTTATTTTGAGGGACTTGTTACTGATGGACTCTGACTCAGCAGGAGGACAGAAAATATTTTCTTCTCTTGCAGGTGACACCAGCAATTTGTCAAATGCAGCGAGTTGTAGCTTGGAAGGGTTTTTCTCCCCAAGGGGTAAGTGGACACTCTCTAAAGGATTGACTACATGCTGAGTTGACAACTTCAAAGTTACTGTAGCTATGAAAAGGCAAACCCAAAGGAAAACAGCTAATTCATGCATTTACTGAATCACCCAATTCCTGTTAATGCACAACAGAAGTACTGTCTGTTTAACTGCAAGGAGCCAAGTCCATCTATTACTGCAGCCAAAGGCTTTTACAATAGCAAAGGATTTGGCCCTCCATGGATACAATATGTGCATGAGAAACAGTAGCATCCCAAGAACAAAATCTCCCAAAGCTGTTTTTTTTTTTTTGTTTCATTTTACATGATCAGCTTTTAACCATCAGCAAAGCACCTAAAGGCTAAGACCTCCTTGAAAATGGAACATAGGTTCCCAAGTCACATAGGCTTAATAGAAATGTTCAATTGGTATAATCAGAATTATGTGAAATGCTGCACAGTTAAACCCCCCTCATATAATAACTGTGAGAAGGGAGTAGGGTGGGATCCTCCTGTTTAGTCCACATCTTCAAAAGCTACTTGCATCTTCAGTTTCCACTTATATACAGGGACTTTAAAACAAAAGTAAATCACAGAAGCCTCTAAATAAAATCCTCCCAGCCTTCAAAACCCTAATGCTTCTAAAGCCCAGTGTTAAAGTATTTTATTACTGACTTCCTTATGCTTACTTGAGGCTTCTTTAAGCCCTGACTTCTACAAGAAGGTCCAAATCTGCAATATTTACTTGCTTGAGCCATCCCACTGACTTCAGTGGGATTACTTGTATAAGACACAATCCCAGGCTTTGGCTGTGGTTCTCTAACTTTTTGCATGTGTGCAGAATTTTCTGCTTGTGTGGCATTGGGCTGATGCGTGTGCGCATATCCAGAGGTCCACCCATATGAAGCAAGTTGCAGGGATTACAACTGTAATCAGATGTGAAAATTCGGGTTTTTCCCCAGCCCAAGCTGGGGTAATTGCCACTCCTTCCATGACATGCATTATGCAAGCCAAGCACTGAACACAAGCAGATTGAAAAGAAGAAGCCTGACAAAAAGGCCTTTAAATCTCTTAGCCTGCCACTTGGTTGCAAGCAGAACCTATTTCCAGTATTCTTGAACGATTTTATCAAGCCATGCAAACCCACAGCTCAAAATCAGCTCAAAAAAGAACAGTTCCATGATCACTCCGGGATTCAGATGCTTCATTAAGAGCCCCAAATTTGGAAGCACTTACATTTTTTTAAAAGCGGCTTGAAACATCCATAAGAAAACACAAAAGAATGTTTGACCTAATTACCTGTCAAACTCCATATATTTCAAATGAAGGTCCTAGGGACCCTGCATTTATGAAAATAGCTTTAAAAAAAAATTGTCCCGTCCCTCATCTGAGTACATAGATAAACTTTTCCAAACAAGCAGTTGTACTGTATTTTGCTCAATCTTGTCAACTTGAACTTTTAAACACTGTTAGATTGCAGGAACAGCTTCTTTTATGGTTAACATTCAAACTCATCGCCCTCTGTTGCACATGCTATACATTGGCAAGAAATTCGGATTTTCTTAAGGGCCATTTAGCAAAGAATCCCCGCAAAGCAGTTAATTATCTCCAAGTCCTTTAAACCTTACCGTGTACGTTATGGTTTCCTCAGTTTCCTGCGAATGTACTGTAATAAGAACGAGCGCAGCCAAGAACATAGCTGTCAACATCGTGAACCTTGAAAGAAAGGAAAAACAAATCAAGCAGGAATGCTTTTAGCGGTCTGCTTTGCTGGAAGAGGCTGCAGCACCCCTGGGACTGGGCTGGGACCGGGTCCTGCTCGGGGAGCTCACCCAGCCCCTACCTGGGAGAGGCGGCCCGGCGCTGCCCGCTCGCTCCCGCACGGAGAGGGTGAGGCTTGGCCGTGCTTCCCAGCCCGGGGATTTTATCCAGCTGGGAGAGAGGGGCGGAAATAACCAGTCAATGGAGCTTAAAACACCCCAGCGCTCACCGGGAGCAGCGCCGGACAAGGCGCAGGCAGCGGCACTGCCCGGCCGGCGCACGCTTTGGGGCGAAGAGTGATTTTTTAGTCAAAGCAAGGCGTAGGGAGCACCCCGCACCTGCCGGGCTCCGCCAGGGACCCGCTGGGGCAGAGCCCTGCCCGGGGGGCGGCGGGCACGGAGCCGCCCGCGCTGCCCGCTCCTACCTGCGGCACCGGGCGAGTGCCGGTCGCTACTCCCGTCCACCGCCTCCGCTGCGCTGACGGCGGCCGCTCGCTCTCCTCGCCCCGCTGCCGGTGCGGTGTCGGCGGCCGCTCGTTCCCTTTGCCCCGCTGTCCGTGCGGTGCCGGCGGCCGCTCGTTCCCTTTCCCGCGGTGTCCGTGCGGTGCCGGCAGCCGCTCGCTGTCCTTCCCCCCGGTGCTGTGCGGCGCCGGCGGCCGGCGGTGCCCGTTCTCCTGCTGCCGGCAGCCGCTGTCTGTCTGTGCCCGGCGGCCGCTGCTCCCCCGCCGCTGTCGGTGCGTGCCCGGTGCCGGCCCCGGGCTAAATAGAACGGGCGCCTGTCCCGCCGGCGCCGCGCGCGCCCCCTGTCGTCCCCGCGGGCGCGCGCGGGGCAGGTGCGGCCCCGCCGCCATGTTGGGGCCGCGGGGGCAGCCCCGGGCACGGCCCCGCGCGGGCAGGACAGCCGTGAGGGCAGAGCGGGGCAGGGCGGCCGCAGCCCCGAGCCGCTCCCGCACGGCTGCCCGGCCCGGCGGCGGCACCGGCCCGGCGGCATCTTCGAGGAAGCGCAGCACGGCCATGGTTTGATCCTGTGTCGTGAGTCGTGCAACGGTAGAATCCTTAAGGTTGGGAAAAAAGAGCTTTGAGACTATCGGGTCCATCTCTACCATGTTCTCAATCACAACCGTAACCAGATGTGGAAATGGGACTGGAAAAATGGGGTTTTCCTCAGTCCAAGCTTGTGTAATTTCCTCACCTTCCATGACATTGCATTAGGCAAGCCAAACACTGAACGCAAGCAGATCTAAAAGAAAATAAACTTACAAAAACGATCTCTTACCCTTCGCTTGGTTGCAAACAAAACTTACTTGCCCTTGTGTCCCACATCCACGCATTTTTGAGCATTTCCATGGGTGGTGACTCCACCATTGCCTTGGGCGGCCCCTTTCAGTGCTTTGCAACTCTTTTCTTGATTTTTTTTTTTTTTTTTTTTTTGGTAATATCAAATCTAAACCTCCACAGGAAATTTAAAATAGCAGGATTGATGTGTTGTGGCCGTTAAAAATTTGGTAGTTAAAAGCCATGAGGAGCCCTCCACAGGGCAATGCCTGTTCCTCAGACACCACCTAAGTTCAGCAATCATCACTTCTACAATATCTTTTCAGGCTAGGAAATGCTGTTATTTCCCCACCCAGGGGGACAGCTCATAGACAGAAGGAAGGATGATGAGGCATTGCAGGGATTTAGAAACTTTGGTGGGTTTGGGTGAGGAGAAGGTGTCCAGGAACATCTTCATTGGATCTTTATTTAATTCCCCAGTTTTGCTTCTGGAGGGCCTGTGGCACAGTAGAGCAGCTCTATTCTCTTCCTGTAGTTCAACAGGAGGTGTTTAGTTTTGAAATAAGTTTTTGCCTCCTTAATGTAGACCTTGAAGGGCCTGGAGAACTGGAAATCTGAAAAAATGTTTTACTATGCTGCAGACCTCTGACACTGCTGGCCTAGATAATGGCTTTCCTATACAACTCCTAAATTCTTAACATTAAATTATAGTTGATCTTACATAAAGCATGAATTCTTTTTTGGGCAGCCATACAGTGCTCATTAATTTTGTCTCTGAATCAAAACACTTCTTATCTGTTCTAGAATCAGCCAGGCTGGTAGTTTTAGAATACTTGTAGCTGCAACCATATGTTGCCTATCTTTTATTTTTTTAGGTGAGAGAAGGCAGGATTTTCCCTCTTTCATTGCAGTTTCTGGGTTTACAGGTAAGTGGGACTCCTAAAAATGTACTTACAATCCACACACCTCACTGGTAAATAAAGAACAGAAGCAACAACATGGTGTAATAAAAAAAAACTAAGTTGACTACATTATAGGACATTTTGTGTGTACTTTTGTGTGCACATTAATTTAATATTCAGCAGGCTATGTGTTCTCCTGCTCCAAAATAATTCCTTCAAAGTCTGCATTTCATTATTTAAAAATACAGCTTCACAGTGTTAGATTGACTCTGAATTGTTCACTTCTGTTGATGTAAATTGGATTCCTATTTGTGATGTGGTCCCTCATATATTTTAAACTTTACTTTTTCTTGCTTATAGAAAGAAATGCAGGTATTTCTAATTGTCTAATGAATGCAAAATAGCATAATAATTGCTTTTATCTACTTGGCAGCACTACTTAGTGAGTATTGAATTGTCATTTGAATTGTGGCATTGTCATCCATGCCATGCAAAGAGAACAAAATTTAAATTGTTGGGTTCTGGATTAAGTAAAAATGTTTAAAAATCTTGTCTTAAGCTACCACATAGGAAAACACTGCCTGTATTACAGGACTGCAATTGTTTATTCTTTCCTCTGGAAAAATGTTCTGCAGAGCAGAGAAGAGCAGGAACATCATTTTGGAAGGTGTCTGAATGCTGGCTGAGCAGGGACCCCCTTCCCTTGGCTTCAGCCAGTGTTATACATTTGCTGAAATGCCCCATTCTGCATTGTTGTCAGTCCTTTAAATGGAGGTAGGAGACTCAGTCCATGATTTGGTAGTTCAGATATTCCCTGCTGAGACAACTGGAAACTTGCCTGGTGTGGGAGAGCAGAACTTAAACAGTTGGAAATGCTGATGGGAGTGTGAGGTATGTGTATGAGCTGAAGGACAATTATTTACATATCTGGGGTGTCTGAACATGTCCCTGTTGTCAAACCATCCCTCCTTCCGTGCTGACCATGAACAGCTTGGTACTGCTGAGGCCAACCCCTACAACAATTGAGGAAGTCCTGTCAGGCTGGTTCCTAATTTTCCCTTTTTTCCTTACTTTTGGCTCTTTCTGAAAGTTGTGCACTCTATTCCCTACTGTTTTAGTGAACTCTTTGTCACATTTCAGTTTTTGCTTTCTTTAAACCCCACAGTTTTCATAAATTCTTTAGCTCAAATGTGTTTACGACTTCAATGTTCACATTTTTTCTTCCTGGCAGGGTGTGTTGCCACCCCCCATTGTCCTCAAAAACCCAAGGATAGGTACGCTGAAGGAAGACTGTGTGTGGTTAAAATGTCACTGCACTCCCTACTAATTCTGGCTGCTAGAATTGTCCCTGGGGGCAGCAGACAGCTGGACATAATTTAGAGCAGGCTGGGATTGATACTAGAGGCTAGCCCGAAAAGGAGGAAAACAAAATTGCAGTTTAATCAGTTCTACTCCCAGATCTGACCCCCTTTTCCTGTTTCAAACATCGCTCCCTAGAACAGAAATGAAGCATATGGAGAATTTCAGCAACTCATGTTTGCCAGCTCGGGGGACCATCACTGTCAATTTAAGATGGTTTCTGTCTCTGAGTGTATTATATTGAGTAGGACTGGAGTTGTCTAAACTCAGAGTGGGAATGGTGGAGATGCTATTTTCATGCTGGACTCACAGGAATTTTAGAACATAAATTATTTCGATAACATGGCAAGCTGCCTTTCTGCCACGCTGCCTACAAATGTCAAATTTTTTTCCATCTTTCAACTTGGAAGTGACATAATGTTGGTGAAGGATAAACTGTGAAGAATTAGAGGTTTGATTTTTTATTGCAAATTAAACATGACAAATGTTAAACTTTTATTTGAGATAATATTTTACAAGTTTATTTATCTTCAAGGGAGGTATCCTGAGTATATTGTATGTGCCATGAAGTGTTACTGTACTATAAACTTGATTTGAAAGAAGGTCTGTGTTAGGTAATTACTCTCACTTTTCATAGAAAGCTGACATAGAGGTAAAAATTCACCATATCAGTTTCTTATCATGGGTGTTGAAATGACAAGAAGTTAATAAGGGCTAAAACGTCAGTAGCAAGAGGCAGAGAACAAATTCTCTCCTTCTCTTTAATCCTCCCATTCAATCTAAACATATATTTATTGTGATTCTTTGTTTCTTGCTTTGCAGTAGAGTTCATCATTGACAGATGATGCAAACAGAGAATAAGAGAAAAATGACAAAGAAAAGATATGAGAGTGGGATTATAAAAATCTAGAAGTAGCATTTTAGCCTTTATTTTCAAGTTATTTCCTGTATGAGAGATCTTGCATGAGTTTTGTTATGCTGAGGCCTCTGGCTAACTTGGGCAAACCATTGCTTTAATTTTTAAATGTCTAACAATGCTCTGAGGATATTAAAGTATAATGTTGTTGCCATTTTTAAAAAATTTTTTGCTAAAGATCAAGCCTGTGGTCTGCATACAATTTGTCAAGCATGCAATTTGCTTGTCTGCTGCATTTTATGGGGTTGTGATCCTGTGTTTTGTGTGTTTCTGTGGACTCCAGCAGAAATCTGGATAGCCAGATAAGGTGGTGACTATTCCCGCTGGAGTCCTTTGTCAGTAAAAGAAACATGAGGGAGACAGTGAGTGAGTGGGAAAGACATTTCCCAGAGGTTGTCCATCTTTTTTGTTGGTGCAGTTGTGCAGCCCTAATAAACTGGGAATTGAAGGGCTTTGGAAGGGTGAGGGATTTTCAGATACAGCTGAAAACAACACAAGAAATGTGGGGGTGATGGTTTGTGGGAAGGATGAGCCCATTTCACTTCCCATAGTGGTTCATCACTTCTTGCATCTCAGAGAATGAGGATTTTCCAGGACTGCAAACCTCTCCTTGTGGTACTCTTGGGTGATGTTGGTTTTAGGCTTCTCTTTGCACAATGAGAGAAATATGGTTAATGGGTGTTTTCTCAGTGTTTTCAAGGCTGTAAGTTTGAGGTCCATCTTACACAAGTTTACTCATGCCCCCAGAATATTTGTTTTTATGGATTAACCATACAGGTAAAGACCCTTTGATGTGGTAAGAATTTCAGATATGGCAAATCTGGGCTGTAGCTTAAATTGCACTGTAGTGATTTACTTTTGCTAAGTAATTGTGTCTGCAATTTAAATATTCTTCTTCTCTTTTAACTTGTATTTCTGACTTCATCCATTTTTATACTGTGCACCAACTCTTTTCAATTCTCTAGCAGTGATTTTCCTTTTCTTTTTTTGTCTTTCTCATGCCAGATAAGAGAAACAGCAGCCCAGAACACATTCATCAGTGTAGATGTGTGGTTTCTGTAACATTGGAGTTGTCATTTCTTCACCTTTTTCTTCTGGAAAACCAGCATTGCTGCACAGAGGAGTTGAAGTCTGATGCTGTACTAGGTTTCAACCAATTTGGTTAAAATGAGAACTTCTCCCCAGAAATAGAACCCATCTGAGGAGCGGGCATCCTTTCTGATGGTCAAAATCCTAGCTTGAATATATGATGTTGTTCTGATTAAACCGTGTCAGTGCAGTTCCTTGCTCAGGCTAAGAGGCAACATAGAAATGGCAGAATTCAAATCGAGTATCACCCAGAATATGTTGGAGACAGCTTTCAACTCTAGTTTTGGCTTCCTTTGTGCAAATCATTTAATCAATTTCTTGGTACAATCTCTCTGAAATGAGGAAAAGATGTGACTCTTGCTTAGGGAAGGGAGGTGGGTGCATTCACTTACCTGTCTAGGATTTCCAAAGACAGTTGATTGTCTTGGATGCTCATATCCCATTCAAAGTCCAGGAGTTTGGATGCTTGTCTGCGATGCTGCCTTCAGGCCTGCTGTGGGCACCTCAGCATCCCCTTAGCTGAAAGGAGAATCAGGCAGAACTCACCTACTACAACATTCATGGGTGTGGATGAGTAAAAACTATGTCCTCTCTTTATCCTCCCTCCATGTAGCAAATCCATTTCCGTTCCTCTGTCAGTTCTAAGAAGGGTAAGAGTGGGCTGATATGAAGGAATACATTTTTATGACCAGTATGGATTTCTGACTGGCAGCTCAACTCCAGCAGGTTGTTCAAGCCTTAGTTTTCATTTTTGCAATTTTCCAGCGTTGTATTTAGCTCCAGATTTTGGGAATTAATTTGAATAATTTAACCTTTCTTAAGAGGATTTGGTGTATTCCTGATGGTCAGAAAGTGCTAAAGACCTTCAAGGCAGACATTCATGTTTGAAACCCTTAACACAAAGCTTTCTGCAGAGCCTCGTGGGCATAAAGTTGACTATGACAGTGCTGTGATCTTTCAGCACAACCAAACTGAGACCTCTCAGAAATGCTGTGGTGAAGGGGAATCTTAGAGGAACACATTTGTGAGGCAGAGCTCTTGCTAAAGACTGTTTTGCTTTTTACAATTCAGGAACATCAGGATCAGTAGATATATTAAACAGTAATTTGGTTCTATAAGCATCTTCTGAACTTCCTGAATTTTCCTCTCTTTTTCTTTTGAGGAAAAAAGTTAGTAATAAGGGAAAAGCAGGAACATTTTTTGTTTATATTGTGTGGAGGTGAACTTGGCAAACAACCTGTCTAGTTAACCGATGAATTATTGTCCAGAGACACAACTTTTCTGCTCAATATCTGCATGTTAATACTACAGGATGTATATCAGAGCATTTTAATTCCCTGGAATATTAAGCTTAGTGCTTGTCTTTAAGCTGTCATACAGAAAGCAGAATCCAAATACCTGTGGGGATTTTCCTCTCTGCGAGATTGATGGCGTTATCCTCTCACTCCTCTTTGCAGATACCTGTGGTTGAAACGGATCAAAGTTCTGGAGAGGGCTGGAAGATGATACCATGAACAGCTGGCACAGAAACACCCATAACCCTGTATGCTCCCAAAATATTCTCTGTAGGAGTTTAACCACATCAGAGAAAAATTCAGTTTTGGGAATGAGGCAGTGGGAATACCACATCTCCAAGTCATTGAGGTGGAGAGGCTGCAGAACAACCCCAGCATGTCATTTGTGTCATAGACTAACACATCACTTACTGTATATTCATCTTAAGTCACATGTAACACAAGGATTCTTTTTTTTTAATTAATCCGTTCAAGTTCTCATTCTCTGGAAACACAAACCTCAGCAAATTAATTCTTGCTCATTCACCCATTACTGTGCTTGAACTGTTGTAATTTAGAAGTGATAAAGGCCCAAAATAACCTGATAGATACAAAAAAAACCCCAATCCCCCTCTCTACCCCAGAGCAGAGCAGTTCAGTTCACTCTCTTATGTCACTCCAGAAACCCCAGAGCTCCCTTTGGCCAACAATAGTCTCAGTGTGTCAGGGGTCACGGGGCTCTTTGGCACCACAGCTGCAGGTCATAAATGCAGTTCTGGAGATTAAGGTATTAAAATGTGCCTCTTTGGGGGCTGCACAGCACAAGAAGGCCTGAGGTGTTGCCTTGTGTCCCCAAGGCAGCCTGGTGGCTCCCCAGGCTGTCAGGTTTGCATGGGGCATACACCAAGAGCTTCCTGTGAGGATTTGTCCTCAGCGGTGGTGTGGTTTGTCATTTCCTCACAGCCAGGGAGTGTTTGCTGCTCCAGGCTCCCACTTCCTGCAGAAGGTGGGTGACAGAGGTTTGCTGAGCAGGAATTCAGTGAACATCAGGCAAAGGAGATGTAGATGCTTGAAGGAAAGCACTGGATGCTTTGTGCAGACCAGACTGCAGTTGGAGCACTGCTCTGTCCTCATGGCTTTCCATGCATTTATAAAATCCCAACTAAAAGAGCAAGAGGCATGTGGCAAGAGCTATTTGCATCAGTGCAGAGGAGAGGAGTGGATTTACCTACTCACTGTTTTACTAACACTTACTTCCAGACATCCTATTTATTACTTTTTATCACATTTTATGTCAAAAAGGTTTTTGATTTTCAGCTCCCTTACTCTTGGGAAAAAAAAAATGCCTTTCTCACTGTAATGTTTGACAGCACTTTAAACAGTGAGCTGTGGTTGTAGAAATTTTGACTTCTAGAGGCAATTCTTAGAATGTACTCAGAGTTTTAGGGCTTGGTCATTTCTGCCCATGTTAATCCTTCATTTTTCAAATGTAGATCTCTTAATAGAGCTTTTACCATAGAAATTCCACTTCTGCAAGAAAACACTGGAGCAGAAAAAGCAGAATTGATTGAGCTTAAATCAAAGGAGAGCCCTTGGTTCAACATTTTGTCAGCAAACTGTGGCTGAGTTATTAATTATCTGTCTCAGTTTGTAAGTACCTGGAATCTGTAAATCTTTCAGGAAGGCCTTTAATATACAAATCTCTACATGTTAGTGTAGCTCCTGACTGGTATCTCTGAGGAAGCTGTGGACACACAGAAATATGTCATCCTGAAGATGGATGATTTAAGTCTGTTGAAGCAGATTGTTAGGTTGTGTGATTGTAAATAGCTTCTTTGGCACTTGTTGCTGTAGGACTAAGGGTCAGATTCTTTCTCTGCCTTGCACTGGAGATGCATCAAAATTTGTGTGGTCTGACTGCACTGGGTTGGGAGCCTGTTCCATTTTTGTGGGTAGCTGTGCATGTGGCTTTTGGGGATGGGTCCTGTAGTTGCTGCTAAATTCCTTGCTGCTTTAATAGGAAGTGCACAAAAACAGAGGAGGTGGCTTTGGCCTCAGGACTGTGGCACTGCAGTTATTAAGAAGGGCCTTTCCATGTTTTTCCCATGCTTTCCTAAAAGCATAAAGAGAAATATAATTTTGTTTCTCTGAAGGTAGAGAATTCTCTCATTGAGGGGTTTTTGCAGCATTCCTTTAGAGCTAATAATGATTCAAAGTTAACAATCACATAATATGTGTACAAAACACTTCCATGTAGAGAATGTCAGTGGCATTTTTTAGATGGAATTACTCCAGATTCTTCATTCAATTGACTTTCATCTCCAGCAGGGCTGTCATTATTTAATAAAAGCCTTCTACAGTGCAGGAAATGTACCTGTGAGGAAGGCTCGAAGTGTGGCAAGGTGTGGTTCTCAAAATGGGTTTAAAGTGCTAGAACACACTTGATTTAGCATTGGAAGGGGAAGGACAGGATCCTCTCCACAGCAAAACAGATCTTTACTTCATGTGGATTAACAGTTTCCTGCTGTTAAAAATTTGAGGTTTTTAGTGTGAATCTTAGGAAGGGAAAGAAGTGCTGTTACAATACTTAATTTAGAGTCAGGAGGCCTTCTGTCACTGCACTGCTGCCTTTTCAGAATGACTTCCAGTGTCAGGCAAAAATATCATAGAGGCATGGAAGAAAGTCGAATGGATTTATTTGCAGTAATCTTTAGTAGAGAAAAACTCCTAATTTTCCAGGAGGAAATGAAGTTCACACACATTTCCTCCACAAAAAGGTAGGGTTGTTTTTTGTCCACCTTGAGATCTGAATGAAATCTTTATTCCCAGTTGGCAGTGACAAAGCATACCTTTGGTGACAGGCAGCAAAAGGGCTTAATCATCTGGTGAATTTATGAACAGCAGTAATAAATTAGAGCTCTCAGGGATGCTCAATGATTTTACTAGCTTGAAATTAAAAGTATGTGAATGGTGTAAGTGAATTGCAAGATAATACTAACTAGAGACATTTGCTCACAGTTGAACTTCTACTTCTCAAGCTATCAGTTGTTTACTGGTCTGGACCAATGAAGTGCTAAAAGCTAAATGCTATAAAATGTTAAACTTTGATGAAAGATACAAAGACAGAAACTGTTTCTTTTGCCAACACTGTGGTCAACAGCAGTGCCCTGACCTGATTACTTAAGCTGATGTTTTTCCTAAATCTGTCATGAATCAGTAATTATCAAGTTTTGCAATACTCAATGATTCTCTTGTGAATAGCAAAATTATTATCTTATTGTAGGTTGGTATTTTCTGGAAAGAAGTGTTCAACTCTTGCATCTGCAGTCTCTATACAGTATGCTAGGCTTTTTTTTTTTTTTTTTTTTTTTTTTTTTTTGCCTGGAGACCTGTGGAATGCCACAACAAATCTCCTGAAGAGTTTCACAAAATGTGAGGAGAATTCAATCTGGTCTAATCTGGAAGTGACCCCTCTGGTGTCTTATAAAATAAACTTTGGTGTCAGCGTGTTTTTCCAGTCATGGTTGGAAGATTTCCAGTACAAGTATTTAGTTATGGGGCTTGACTTGTAGGGCTTCTAATAGGAAAAGGAACTTGTACAACATATTGTTTTTATTAGTGGGTTGTTCTCATAGCAATTTAATATGGCAGTGACAGAAAAAATTCCCTTTTGCCTTGGGCCAAGTGCCATGCAGTTGTGTGAGGTAGGTGTGCATGGGGACAGCAGTGGGACTTGGTCCCTGAATGAGGGGAAATTAAATCTATGTTTCCAAGATTGTGGTGGCATAATACTAACAGCTGGCCTTGGAGCCCTAGTAATCCTTGCAGCCCTTGGCAGAATTTTCTGGGAAATAAGAGACCAGAATTAGGGGAACTTATCACATAAGGTACGTGAGAG